GGGGGGGGCGGTTCCTCTTCTTTAAATTGGATGTGTTCTCTTAACGGCGTATCTTTCTGAAGGGAACTACTAACGTGTTCTTGGCTAAATGCATTCTTAAAACGGTCAATGTATAACATTAAAGATTCCTGCACTGTATTGTTAATGCTGTAAATGAAGTGAAACATGATTAACAAGCTGTTTGTGAGGGAAGAGAGGGTTTAGAGACCGCATAGACTTAGCGAAGCAGTGGAGCGTCCACGTCCTCGGCCGTTCCCTCGGGCCCGGTCTCTTTCCACGGCAGCACGCGATGCTCTGCGCTGCGCGTCGCACCCTGACCTTGGGAGCCAGTGCTTTGCCTCAGCGTCGCTGTCGTTACAATGGAGGTGCTGCACCTGCAGCATTACAGAGGAAAAGGGCTATGTATGGGCAGTAGTTTCTGCTGCTGTTATGCTGTTTAATTTCCAATTTTTTTTTAGTTTGAAGTTTAATTTTCAGTTTGAAGTATGTCAGAACGTTAGAAGAGCATTGGATTTAGATCCCCAAATCTCAAGTCGATGTAGGTGCTTGGAGGCAGCCAGGGTACAAACACAACCAGTGCTAGGAGTGTTTGTGGAAGTCTTAGGAAGATTATTTTTCTTGGGGGAACCTTACAGGCATTTAACATTAATTATAACCTTCAACTTTAGAAGTGCTGCAACCTGCCACTTGCAATTCATAAACCTTATAGGACTTGCCAGCACTTACCAGTGTGGTAGAAACCTCTGGTTTGGGGACCCTATCTATCACTATATAGCCCCTACAGAAGGGGACAGTAGCGTTAAGGTTAATGTAACAAATCTGGATATCAGATTCCCTGGAAAGGAGAAGCATTTTAACTGTCCAATTAGCATAGATGTGCCAGTAAGCACAGATATGCCAGATTTGCTTTTTGACATCCTTTGTGGTATCTGTCCTTAAACAACCTGGAAGCAACACGTGATTACTCTGGTTTTCTCCATTAAACTGTGCTTCATCAACACACTTTAGTGCCTTTTGGCTGTGGCGATTTGCGTTTTGTTCAGCAGAGGGTGTAATAGAACACCCTGGTACAGTGTAACTGAAAGAGTACCAGAAAGTACACGGATTTTTCCGCTGTACTTTTGAAAGCATCAACTGACATAACTCTGTTTTGTGATTTCTAGACTGTCTCTGTATGCAGAACCACAACCCCTTCAGCTTTCATGAGGATTATTTCACCAAGAGAATTTGTGGATGTGATACTAATGAAGCAATATGAAGACGGGACGATGCTGTCTGCTGGTAAGAGGCTACCGGAAATAAATTTAAAAGAAAAAGTAATTAACATGCTGTTTAGTAGTTGCTGGTCTGATATTGATCAGAAGATAAAATACTAGTGGTCTCTTTACATCATTGTGCTCAGAGTGTATAAATCATGTTAACGTTCAGGTAATGATGATGCTGTTGGACTGTGGTTTCTTCCCTTGCTAGGCTTTTAATATTGAATAAGTATTTAATTTACTGTTAAATTCTGGGGTTGTTTTTCTGTGTACTTTTCTTGTTATTTTTTAAGAATTTATAGAACTTTCTAAAAGGAGTCCTGTTTAGGCTAAGTCCTGTTTTGACATTTTCTGCAATGCCTTTGGATTTTGGTGAAGCCATTGAATAAATGTACCACTCCTGTATGTGGAAATAATTATTCTTATGAAACCAAATAGTGCTGATTTTCAAGGGGTTGCCACCGCATGAAAGGATGTGGTTTTGGGGTTTTTTTGCCTTTATCCTGTTGTTTACCTGTTACAAGTCAGTGCTTTTATTGCCCCGCTGTTCAGCTGTCCCATTTTCCCATCCTGTTCAGGACTGCCTTGCCAAGAATTTACTCACTTGCTTGAGTGCAGCTTCTCGGCAGTCAAGTGGCATATAGCTCTGTGGCACAGGTTTGCTGGAAGCAACCTGAATGACCTCTCAAGCAGAGCAGTGTCCTTGCACAACATGGGTTCAGTGAAACTCCCTCAAAGCAGCTTGCTTGAAGTAACAAATATTTTTCTCTTTTAGTGAGTTTGCTTCTCAGCTGGTGCTTTGAGTACCAAGGACTCTGCTCTTTCCCATCCTCTGTGAATTTGACACTTTTCTTAAATATGATTTCTTATAGCCACCAATGTGGAACACCCACTGTGTCCTCTTCAACCAAATTTCGTGAGAGGTTTTAATTATCCCTGTGGCTGTTTCTGTCTACCTCTTCCAGGGTAAGAAGCGATCTATTTGAATATTATGTATTCTGAAGCCCTTCTTATTCATTGTGTGATGTGTTTATGTGCGTATGGCCACATGTGATCTGTCGCCTCTGGGCAGTAATTTGTTTCTGTCTTCCTTAGGCTGGTAACCATTATGACTGAGTGCCCTTTTTGTTCTCTTTTTTGTGCAATGTATCAGTCTCTCTTCCTAGCGGGACATCAGTAATGTTACGGGAACCATCCTTATGGTAGGATTCTTGCTGACCTCTTAAGCGGAGATTCAGCAGAACATACAAGTATGGTCTGAATTTTTGAGAAGGAGTATCTGGTTGTTTATTACATTGCCATAATTCATGAACAGAGTCGTGTACCTAATTAGGGCCTAGTTTAACTGCAGTCAGACTTGTGGGGATGGCCACGTTCATTGAAATTTGGAATTAGTGTCTGTTGTTTGTTTAAAAACAAAAGTACTTAGAAATAGCTATCACCAGTCAATACATAAGAGAGTCGTTGTAAAGTTCTTAAATGTTTTTAAACTGCTGGCTATAAAATCACTTGCATTGTCTTTGCAGGGAGCCAGACAGGACTCAACTCCTCAGTTTCTTTCAGACTGATCTTGGTGGCTATCTTCCCCAGACGGTGGTGGATTCCTTCTTTCCAGCTAGCATAGCTGGATTTTATAGCAACCTGACGAAAGCTGTTAAGACATTAAGAGTGTGAGAAGACCAATTGCTGATGTCACCAGCTGAGGGTAGGAAAAAACCTGGCAGCTTGAGGGTAGGAATAAGAAGTTGGCCTTACAGGATTTTACTACCAGCAAAGATACTTATGAAAGGTAGCAATGGACTAAGTAAATTTTTAAAACAGCGTTTTCTGCTTGTCTCTATTCAAAGCAATGCATTCTATTCTAGTATGATATGCTTCTTTTTCATGATTAGAAAAGTACCACACCAGAGGCGGGCAGAATCCTGGAGGCAGCACTGCTGCCTGTCTCCAGGGAGAAGATACATATACTAGATCAGTTCTTGGCCACGCTTTGTCAGTGTCCATGAGGAAGAGCATTGCTAAAATACGCTTAGCTCTACAGTGTTATCCAGGTGCAGGTCAATCCTGTTTTGTCTCTGAAGCTCCCCGTAGACTCCTGTGGAACACTGTTCGCTGCCTGTCTGCGGGGAGAAGATACATATACTAGATCAGTTCTTGGCCACGCTTTGTCAGTGTCCATGAGGAAGAGCATTGCTAAAATACGCTTAGCTCTACAGTGTTATCCAGGTGCAGGTCAATCCTGTTTTGTCTCTGAAGCTCCCCGTAGACTCCTGTGGAACACTGTTCGTCCCCAAAAGAAGAGGTAGCTCTTTTGCTGCCAGCACTCGCTGCTAAGATGCTTCAAGTGGGTCCACGCCAGCAAGTGGTAAAAGCCAGAACAAACTGGATTGTGTAGAAGATCCCACTTGTTTGTTCCAGCAGACTTCAGTACTGATGGTAAATATGCCTTAAGTGCTTAAAAGTTCAGCAGTGCAAATCAGTTCACAGGTCTGTGGGTTGGCAGATAGACACTCTTCCTTTCTCCCCTCTGTACCAAAAGCAGTGATTTCCACAGTGTCGTGAAACAAACTGCACTGGCGTAGTGGCAGTAAAGAGGATTAAGCACTTTACTTGCTGGTTTTTTAACTGTACTTGAAATGACCATTTTTAACTGCACTTGAATGATTTTCAGCCTCTTGTGGTGAGAGGTTTTAATCTTTTCTGTATCTTAGTCTTGACTTGACAGGTCATAAGGACATTGCGTTTTCTCTGAGACTGGTTTGCCTCACACTTGTCTTGGGACGTCAGCTCCTGATCTTGTGTGCAACGATGTGGCCAGCCTTAGAAAATATTTATGGTGCTGGTTACTGCAGGAATGTCAGACATTACTGTGGATTGCATATAGTTAACAAAAGGAAAAAGAATTGCTAAATTAGGAATTTAAATGCAGGTTGTGATTTTAATGCTGTGGCTTGATTATTTAACAAGGTTAATATGCTTTGCTTTCTGTCCCTGTATTTGTTTTATGTTTAGTGTAGGGCATAGACTTGCACACAAATTTTTCACTGTAAATCTCACGCTATGGAGTAGATTTTTCAAGGAATTGGTTTTTAATCTAGTCTCCTTTGTATACAAAGATCTAAAAACTTGTATGAGTGTGATGAAATAAATATTTTTCTGCTGCATCTTGCTGTTTTTCCTGAATCGTCCTTTAAAAATGGTTCCTCATGCACCTGCTTTGCCATCAAGGAAACGTAAGAGCCACTTGGACCTTCAGCATCTCTGAATTCAAGGCAGCAAGGCCTTCACTCCTGTTTACACCCGCTGCTATCAGAGCATAAAGGTGTTTCAGTGAGAACACTCACCCTCTTGACTTTTGTCCTTGGTTGGTTCTTATTTCCAATGTAGATTGCTGCTTTCTGTACTTACGAAGAGTAACAAATGTGCTGAGGAGAGATTTGGGCCCTGATCTTACAGAGGCTCATATATATTTTTCTAAATGTACCAAAGTTTTTAAGGCATGAAGTTCAGTATCTCGACAAGTCTTTGCAGGACTATGGTTAATTAGCAAAATATTCAAGGAGAAGGGCTCATGTCACTGCTTGTTATTCCTGCAAGTAAAACTTTTGCAGGCAATAGGGCTTTTTCTTAGCTATTTATTATGTATTTTTTTTTGTTTTTTATTGCTCTGAGCAATAAAGGTGGTAGGTGAGGCTTTTCTTTGGAATAACTTCAGGATCCTTTTTCTGAGTGCTCAACATGTTCTGTGCAGAAGGAATTTAGAGCGCTTAACATTCAGCCTTCTGCCCTGCCAAATGGGAGATGGAAATGTCTTGGCAAAGGTCATCTTGTAAGATGTCGGAGGACTCCCCAGTGAGACATGCTGCCTGTCACAGAGCATGTTTTGACTTCTTTTGATCTTGGCAGATGCCAGGAAATGCAGAGGCATGCAAAAACTGAAAAACTTTGACAGTGGAGCAAGAAGAGCACCTCCGGAAAAAAACAAGATCAAACCTGTCTTGGTGGTTCTATGTCAGTTCTTAAATTGATGAAATTAAATAGCTGTTTCATGTGAGGACACCTTCAGCAGATGGCATTGAAGTAATGAAGGCATTCTGTGCTATGGCTGTAGCTAGTCCAGTTTCTGTTGTTGAAGTTATGAAGCTGACCAAAAAGTGTGATCTGTCTTTTACAGAAAATAGCTTTAACAGTGCCAAAGAGTTGAGGCCTGCTTTTCTGTACAGAAATCATTCATGGTTTTCCTGTATTGGTGGTATGGGCAAGTGGGTTGGAAAAAATCTTAGAATCTTAGAATATGTACCAGGCATTTACTTAGACTTTGTCAAGCCTAAGACAATAATGCAGGTTAAGTTAAATAAAAGAAATTCTACAAAAAATGAAGAATTTGGAGAGTTTCAGGTAGGTACCTGTTAAAAATCTACATAAGATTCCCTCTCACATTTTTCTCTTACGGTGGTTGCTACCCAGTTCATAGAAATTTTGTTTTGAGGATTGTTTGGGTTTTGGAAAAGACAACTCAATTGGGAAGGGGTTTGGAAGTGTGGGGGCAGATGGCTTGGCAAGAATGTTCTTTCAACGGTGAACATAGAGTTGACTGGTGAAGCAAGTTACATGCCTGGATTCAATTAATACCTTCTGCTGTCTGTCCTACTTCCCTTCTCTCAGTTGCTGTTTCTGTGACATTGTGTTAAGTGCATGGAGAACAGCTTCTGAACTCCTGCAGTTTATGGTTGGGGGAAATTCATTGTAGAAGGGTGCAGCAAAATTCCTGACTATGGGAAGGTGAACAGCCGAGGACAATAATGAGTGGCTTTTGACTGGCGAGTTGCTACTTCCATCCTGATGTTGCATCTCTCGCTTTAGTGAAGTAGGGCAGAGAAGACCAAATGGGTGCACAAGACCATCTAGCCGTAAGGACACGTGCTGCTGCTGTTGGAATTCCATACAGAGCACACTGCCAAAATGCCGATAGCAGCATCTGAACCACGGATTTATCTCAAAGTTATTTAGTGTTTCCAGAACAAACATTTGCATTTAGAACTTTCAATTCCTAAATACTCTCACTGGTATTTCCCCTTAGAAAATTAACACAGACGCTTCAAAAAATACGTGTGGTTAGAAGATAAGACTTGGTTCTAAATGGCCTTGTTGCTCTTCTGCTCTCGTCCTTGGAGGCCTCTGGCCAGAGGAGGGTTAGGAAAACCTCTGTTATATTACTCTCAGCTGCCTGCCTCACCTTTACAATGCTGTAAGACACTCCTTTCCCCCAACCCCATGTCTGCCTGCTGGAGCTGAGATGGCTCTGTCAACTGCTAGTAGGAAGTTACCCTAGACAGGTTTTGACTGTTCCAGCTGTTCTATGGCTTGAATAGAAAGGCTGGAGTATTCCAGGACACGTTGTCATTTTGACACACAAAGTTGCATCCCTCTTGCTCTGCCTTTTGCGTGTTCTCTAAGGCTTTTTCTTTGCTGCAGTGTTTAGTTGTAGGCTTGCAGACACAGTTTTTCCTCCTGGAAAGGTAAGGCAGGGAGCAAGACTTGCAGAGTAGGACTGAAACACAGAATGCACTTCTGATAGTTGTTAAGTTAATGGCTTAAAATAGGAGACTACTATAGCTGACGCATAGTTTATTACAACCAGTATATTAGTAATAAAGTCATTATTTTATAATTCTACACTTTGTAACATCTGTTTCTGAATGTTGAAGTAAGAATCATGTACATTTTGTACACATCTTATTTTAGCCCAGGCAGCTTGCTCTGTAACTGGCAGTAAGATCATGCGTACTTTTCATATGTGCTTTCTGAGTATCTTGCTGTGCCAGCCAAATGGCTGCAAGTAATAAAATCCTTTTTTGTTTGTAATATTGGCAGTAGTCTAATTCCTTCTCTTACAAAGTTTCAGATGTTTTGGTGGTATCAGAGCTTGGGTTCTTCTTCTTGATGATAGCTGTGATGGGCCCATCAGGTAATGCCTTGATTATATTCCATGCTTCAAAACGAGTGAGTCCTTGCATGGCAGTTGTGTGCACTTGTAGTAGCTCATCACCAGGCTGAACAGGGCTGCTTTGTTCTAATGCAGTCCCTGGTGAAAGAAAATGAATTTCCATTAATTCTTTGTGTGCAGGAGTCTTAAATGGATCTTTCACTTCTTAAGGATCACCAGCATGTTTGGTATAAACCACCTGGTCTCAGTAGGCAACAAATTACTAGAACTGCACGGGATAACGCTGCATTTACAAAAAATACAATTTTTGTGGATATAAATCAGCAGTCAGTTATGAACTGCATGAATTTGAATCAGCTGAGAACCTGCCATGTGCACATTTAAATATGTTTACCTTTAAATATCCTATTGATGATGATGGGTTTATCTCCATGAACAGAGCCCTTCCCTCCTTCCAGACTGAATCCTAAGCCAGCAGGTGTTTTTTCTAGAGTTACAGTGCAGATTGTGTCTTCAGTTGCTGGAAACAAAGGGAAAGTTAGCAGATGGGCACCACATAGTCTGAAAAGCTAAAATATCTGTTACAAAAAATGAACTTCTGTTTTGTTTGCAAGGAAACATAATCTGCCAAATAAAAGAGAAAACTATAACTTTTAATTCCTCTTTTTGTCATTGTAAGGCCCGCTGGGGAGAGAAAGTTGTGCCTGAATTCATAGCAGAATGGAAATATAAAAATCAAAGCTGGTGACATTTACTAGATTTAGAAAATCTGTTCAATGAACCAAATTTAAGGTAA